TAACTAACGTTTAAATTGAATATAAATAATTTGCACATAGGATTAAAACATTGTTATGTATCACTTGGCTTAGTACTCCATGAAAGAGGTTGTATTATTTGCTGAATTTCGACTTTTTAGGAAATAATTAATTTATGTAAACAGAAATAAAATTAGCACTTTTAATATTACGCATCTCAAAGCTTTTAAATGGCCATCTTTCCTAAGTAAATGTGCAATACGTGGCTTAATCTAAACTACTAATATAAATTAAAGAGATTATCTTTCTAGCTAGAAAAACTCTTTTTACAAATCGATGAACTTTAAAGTTATTCATAAGTTTCTTATAGAATGCAGACTTTTTTAACATAAATTTAATTTAAGTTATTTGATCTGCAGCAGCCATGTGTTTAAAAACTTATCAATCCAAAGCCAAACGAACTTCGAACGTCAACTGAATTTTGTTAAACTTTTTCGTTAAACTATATCGATTTGTACTATATATAAGCATTCTACTACAGCTACGGCCATACACAGTGAAAAGCACCGGAACCCGTCCGATCTCCGAAGTTAAGTCACTGATGGCCCTGTCAGTACTGCGGTGGGGGACCACGCGGGAATACGGGGTGCTGTAGTTTTGACTATTTTAAATTTTGATAACATTAAGCCTTGCATGCTTAAGTTACCATTTATTAAACTCGTAAACATAACGAAGAGCACACAAAGTATGCATATCTCAAATTTTGATAATTCGTTATGTGCTCTTGTGTTGTCAATAAATCTTTATCAGTTACATTTGAACGGTTGAGTCGGATCCAAGTTTCTATTCATCATTATTGAGTATACGTTCATAGCGTTAGCTAGATTATTGGTTATCATAATACTGTCAGCCATGACATATTCGAGCAGTACGAATTTTTTTCTTCAATTTCTTGACAATCAATCATGAGCACTCGGAATTACAGATTTTTTAGTTAGTAATATTAACCATCTGTGAAAGGTGATTTTTATGATCAAAAAAACAATAAAATCATTTATTTTTGATAGTGATATAAGTAATAGTTAAGTCATAAATATACGCGTAAACACAAACCATTTTTGGTCGTTGTAAAATCAGCTAACGTTAATAAGCTCAGTTATCTAGCTTTTCTTGTAAGTCACTCGGCATATCGTGTATATTAATATCCGAAATATGTTTTTTATCACCAAAGAAATTATTAAATTAAAACAAATGATGAAACCATCTATTTCTGTGCACCTTTTTAACATATATAATTTTTTCATACAGGTTATTATCGTTTTAGTGAAGTTGAGCTCAAAAACTGTATATATTAAATCTTCTCGATATACATTGTGAATTTATTAATGAACTCTTAATATAACGAGGTTTGACTGTATATATAATTTTGCTTTAATTTCTAACATTAAATCTATAGCAAAGAATATATTAAATTATTTATTTATTATGTAGCATCTATTATTCTTTTTTATGGATTATGCTAAACTAAATTTTATATATGTATAATTAATATCTAAGATATTTATAATAAAATTTTGAGATATTGAGTGCACGGAAATTATCATATCACTTTTACCTTCGTTTGGAACATATAAATTAACACTTGAAGAACTTAAATATTTGATTTATTTGAATTAACCTGAAATGTTATTTTGATTTAATATAAAATAAATGTACATGCATGTATTAATTAGAATTGATATTAATTTCGAAGTAAAGATTCGTCTGGTGTGTAAATTGCATTTAAGTGGAATTTTTGTTTTTTTGCTACCCTTTTCAAAATAATATCGCCTCACCAAACTCCATCTCCTTTTCAAGTCTCTCAGATCCTCTAACATTTTTCAAGAATAAATTTGCACTACCCGGGAACATTACATGTATTTGGTATCGTAGGTCATAGATGTCGTATACAAAATAATGATCATGACTTTGTTCACCAAATGGTCGTTCACCTATTAAAATTTCGCACACAGCTATAAGTTAGTGTATGGTTTCCATTTAGCATACATAAGGAAGTATTCCTCAAATGTTTTGGTTAATATTTGTTGGAATGCTAAATCCAAAATCAGCAATTTGAGGATTGTAATGTATTAATACAGTATATTGCCAGGATGAAATTCACGATGTACAAATTTTTTTTCGCGAATTTCTAATTTTGATCCCAAGTCAATTTCTCGGATATCACCACTGTTAATACATGTGTTTCAAAACGTTATTTAGAGATTGTAAAGATGAATTATTCTAATCTCTAAATAAATAACAAAAAGTTTAATTACCAGTTTGAAAAAATTTCTTCAAAGATTCAACCATTTCAGTGCTATATTCTCATAGGCCTTTTGATACTATTTTAAAGCTATTCCGAGATTTTTTGAATTTCTATTCCGTAATGGTAAAATTTTCTAATATTAAATTGAGCTTTATTATTACCTGATTCTGCAGTCTTTAAATACCAATTAAATGCTTCATTATCATCTTTGCTTGTTCTTTCTCCGTATTCATAACATTGTCCAAGTCGAAGTTGAAAGTGAGGATTGCCATTAATTGTTAATTGTAAGGCACGTTTAAATAAAAGATGTTCCATATTTTTTCATTTCTTCATTATTTTCATAATTAATAAATTGGACCTTTATTATTTTCAGACTCTGCTGATTTTAAATACAATTTGGTTGCTTTCTTTTCATCTTTGATTGTACCTTTTCCATTAACATAACAGAGAGCAAGATTATACTGTTCTTTAGGATCTCCAGACTCTGATAATTTTAAATACCATTCGAATTCTTTTTTTCATCTTCGATAATTTCTTTAATCTTTTCGAGGAAAATTAGAAAATCATCAATCACTTTTTTTTTAACATGTTAATTCCATGTGTGATGATTTTCTGTTGTATTTTTTGCAATAATAAATGAATGGAATAATGGTTCATTTATATTTAAATTTGCAATAGATAAAGAAATTCCATCCACAATTGCATCATTGTCGTCTATTCTAAATCTTTTTCATTTCCTCTTTAGTTATATCATCTTTAGTCGTTAACTGCTGTTGTGGATACTCTTCGTCTTCAATTGTGTTTTTTGCCATACAATATATCAATGTACATTGTTCTGAAATATTTATTGATACACGTTATTAATCACTTTATGTATAATTTTTAAGCTTACTCTTCCGTTTCATGCTGTTTTTATTTTAATTTTTTTTGACTATTTAAATGCCAATTTTAACATTATTGATATACATGTATAAAACAAATTTATGACATTAATTGCACGTGCGCCATCAATGAAGCGCGTGCACAGGACTTTGGAATCACAGGTTTTGTGTCAGGTTGCAAATGATTTTGGAAAGTTGGTATTATAGGATGTGGGATTTTGTCAACCATTATGTAGTCAGAAATTACGTAAGGAAGTATTGAGATCGATCACGAGTCTTATGAGGCGGAATGAATCGTATAAAAAACAATTTCATCAGTTCCAAAATAAGTTCCATTTCCAATATAATAATTTTAATAAAATAGTTTCGAAAAACGATTAATGTATTCATGTAGATAAATTATTGAAATAAATCCTCCTTTTATTATCGAAATAGTCATTAAAGCGCTTTCATGAAAATACATAATACAGGTTGATTAAAATAATAATCAATTTTGTGTCTAATGCCTTTCAAATTGTAGGAACTAGCGGCATTAACTTGCGGATACAGCGGAATACGAATAATAAAATAATTGTGGAAATTAAATATTAGGAAACTGATCAATTGTTTCCTGTATTCATCCCACTGGATATCAACATATACAATTGCAGAAATTGATTTCAATTTAGTCAAAATTCTCCCATATATCACATATTAATTTATAAATGAATTCTTGAATTGAAATGTTATTAGATTAATTTTTAAGACGCCCAATTAGATTCTAGTTAGAAAATAATTTGCCATTTTATTATTAGGGATAAACCAAACATTTCTCAATACGCTTTTACAGTACTAGTTCCAAGAAATATATTTTATATACATATTCTAGGAGCTGACTCGATCTCTTATCTGATTAATAAACATCATCTGTTTGATTTCTATTGGCAATAAAGTATTTTCATATAATTAATCTGATTTCCAAGTTTCTTTAACTAAATACTTATTCTTACACGTATACAATGCATTATTAATAAATTGTTTTTCTATGTAATTGATTTATAATTTCGAATTTTATGAGGAATGTGATATCGATATTTCTATTTTATGGTAGTGGTTATATAAGATATTGCTATGATTATAAAATCTATAATTTTGTAAATTTTCATTTTTTTTACAATAATTGATAAATGTATTCTTTTGAGATTATGAAATCAAAAATAAAGTGACTGTAATATTAAGTACCCTTCTGAAGGAAAAAAATGCAAGTCATTGTTTAAACGTTATAAATTATGAAATTTCTTCTATTTGGAAAACACGTACCTGACTTGAATCTGTGTTAATTCAATTTAATATATCAAATTGTTATCAAAATTAATTTTACTTACTAGTAAGAATCAAATTTTTGATTTAACTAAGATAATACATGTAATGATAATCAGTATCGGTAAGGTATACCGATACATGTAAATTAATACCAAATTCTGAATCAACAAACATTTGTTCGCTGTTCATGTTCTATAAGGAATTATTTTTAGAAAACATATTTACAAAATAATCAAATTTTTAAAAATGTGTACATTAACAAAAAGTTATATTATATTTTATTTAAAAATATTCATTTTAGGATGATTCAAAATCATGTCATGTTTGAAATAAATAACAAATTAATTTTTAATTATTTACTTATAATTACTTCAAACTACATTCTGCGGATAGAAAGCATTAATTTAGCCTCAGCGTACGAATAATAGTAAAAACTAACTACTTTTGCTTATAACAATAAGCACGGAACATACTCCGTTTCTTCTTTACAAAAGTATATAAGAAGCAGTCGAAACTTTGAAAAATTAAAGTTAAGTGAAGATAAACTACGAATATGAAAATTAATACGACTAATAATGAAAAGTTACCAAAGATCGAAATAACGGTCTCGTTTCCCCCTGATATCATGCCGATAAATTTAATTGATCGTGCTCTGGAAAAGACTCGAAGAACAGGCAAAGTTTCTCGAGTCCCTAACGCTTTTATTGCGTATCGTACTATTTTCTGTAAGGAACTTCAAAAAACAGCACATCCAACCATTACGCAACCTCAACTTTCGTTGATTACTAAAGAACGTTGGTCAAAAGAACCAGAAAACATTCGCCGAGAATACGAACGAATTGCCGCCGTAGCGAGAAATTTATACACACGAATTTGTGTTGAACAAAAACTATTTCAAGAATCAAAAAATCAAGACAAAGAGAAAGAAGGTTCTTATTCCTTTTGGTCAAAGCAACATAGTGAATTTGCTCTTGATCCAAATTTTTGGCAAATTTCACCTCAAACTAACGAAATTAAATTTTCTGAAAGTACAAACAATGAGTTAGGAGAGAATTTTGTAGTCGATGAATCTTTCATAACTTCTAATTTTATAGATACTGAAAATAATCAATTTTTAAGCACAGAATTAAATTTTTTACCCATACTTTTCTGATAACAATTTAATATTTTTAGCAAATACGCCTCCCTCTCCAGAATGTTGTGATCCATGTAAAAAACGCACTGAAATTTTAGAAAAGCGTAGAAGCGATTTAGAAGTACGATTGAATGATTTAACAGAGAAAATGCAAAAAAAGTAATTTACATAGTCTACTTTGCATAATGATAATTGCAATAGAAGATTAAGTATATAAACCTATGTATGTGTGCGTCTATTTTTTTCTCTTTAAGATATGAAAATATAATAAACAAACATGTTATCATTGCAAAAAATGTGAAAAATTTATACGTACGCAGTTTTCAATTTAGGAGAAATATCAAATATTTAATGATACTATTACAACAAAGAACATTACTTACGTATAGTGATCCCAATCTATCGCCCAGTTCCAAATTACATGTATATAGCAAATCAAAAATTCTGCGAGAGACTTTAATTACAAAATCTCGAAAGAAATTTTTATACTGTATCGGTATCGATCAATATAAGTTTAAATCGTGTGATTCTTTTTGAGCACTGTTCGTATCGTACGATCGCAAAGAAATGCGGTAAATCCCGCTATTGATGAACCGGTATAATACAGTAACTCAAAAATTATCGCCCTGATTTGCAAGATTGCGAGAATGTTGTTTTGTAACCTGAAAAATCCATGTTAGCTTATTTTTAAGATTATAACATAGTAATGTCGTCATTCCTTCCTAAAGATGTTTGATCTAAAGAAAGTAGGACGCAACACAATGTGGGGGGGGGGGGAGCTTGAACTAAATCATTTACAAAGAGAGGGTTTTTCTAATTGTTTTAAAGGTCGCCTGCGATAGTTTTTACGAAACTATTATGTAAATAATAGAAAATGGCTTAAATAAAAGGGGAGTTGGGAATAGAATTGTCCACAGGATTCCAAAGGAATACGGGTAGTTTCTGCTCACTACCAACATAAAACAAAGGTTTGGACTTATTGACACGGCCAACTAACTATCAACACGAAGAATTAGGCAAAAAACAAATTCTACAAAGCACAAACTAATACGCACCAAATTTTTAAGGAAAAAGAAGTAAAACCATCAATTTTGTTAAGCACAAAAGTAATAAAAGCTATCTATCAGTTTCATTATGGCACGAAAGAAATAAGAGCCGAAACGCAGTTAGGTAAGTTTCAAAGTAAATTTAATATTTATTTTTATTCAAACCGCCCCATTGCTTAATTCTCAAATCTTTGGATGACTATTCATTAAATATAATTTCAGAACTACATCACTTTGCTACGCTGTTTCACGGGATCTGAAAGTACAAAATATGAAATACATAAGTTCAAGAATTCTCACAAAACGGGCATGGCTTTGCTTCGTAACAAAGCATCAAATATAATTATAAAGGTAAAACGAAAGTCTAACTATAATGTACAACGTTAAATGTGATTTTAGTATCGGTATGAAAGTATTGTAAGAATTTCTATGATCAAAGAAATTCTTGAGATCGTGATATAATAATTTTGTGCTATCGTTTATTAGGGAAGGCATTTATACCGATGCTACGAAGTGGGAGTAATTTATGCTTCGAGCATTACAGGAATATGTATATGTACGATTCTCTTTACCGTTACGTTCTCATTACACAATAGTGATAGGCATGCTGAATCGGGAATTGCACATTATTCTAAATTTCTGGCCATGTACAACAATAATTTTAGTCGGTTCGGTCAGTAAACCAAATTTTTCGAATCAAATAAATGTACGTTTCGATTAATTACAAATCGGTAACGGTAATACCGCATTCGGTAACTGTTTTACCGATCATAATGATCATCTTGTCAGAAAAATGTTCTCAATTCAAAGTGGCTGAATGTTATCAATATGGATTTGGGGTCCTAAAGGATCTCGATATGGAATTAAAGTGATATAAAAAAGTACAATGTTTTGTGTTTTAGTTAAAAAGTAGCAACAATAAAAAAAATTAACATTTTGTCAGTGTGTTTAATTTGTATATAATGTAAGATTCTCAGTTTGATAAATTTGATAATAATTATATGGTTTTATAATTGTTAAAACAAAATTGGAGCTTATAAAATTGACTTGCGGAGCTTGCGGAACGCAAACGATTTTAATTTTCCGCAACCAAGGTCTGATATGCACATGCGGATTCCGCAAATAAATTTTTTGACTTTCCGCATGACTCTGCATATGATTTTTAAAATGATGATCTACGTGAAATTTTTTGATCATATTTTTGGAGAACCAAATTGGTACGTCGTCCCAAAGCTACTGGATTTTTTTATCAGACATTTTTTATTATTATTTTACTATAATAAATTTATTTTATAAAATGTGCAACTAAACATTTATTTCCGCAAATATGTAATATACATTTTAGGTCTGAAGTGTAATTCGATTTAAAATCCGCCAGTAAAATTATTCATTTGGTTGCGGACCAAGAAATCTCAAGTATCTTTTTAACAAATTTTAATTGTTAAATATATTAATTATTGTAGCAGCTGATGCCGAAAGTTTATAATGAATAAAATATTCACAGTAAACTAATTTATGTTCTGTAAATAAGTTCTCTCATTAATTGAAAACGGGTGCTTATCAGATTTTAAAGTAATAATTTATTATATCATTTATGATAATACTAATCAACTATTCATTTTACTCTGTACACCTGGTTAATGATTTTAGGTCAGGGTTAGATTTAGAATTATACATAATGAAATAAATGACATTTATGAATCGTCATAGAGAGTTTATTATATGTAATTTTAAAAGACTTTTTTAAGTCGACGAGTTTCCCAAATAGCGGTCGAGACTTCTTAGCCTGTTCTACAAAGAGAATCAAATAATGATACACCGTACTAGATTTCTTCTGATAAGAGCAATAAACCTGAAGTCAATAATAATACAAACAAGATGTAATGCTTTTCTCTTATTATAACTTTATTTATCTTGATTAATGCTCACGAACACGCCTATATATATTGATTTTCGGTCTATGTTTTGGTACAATGGATTAAAAGCTATACTGGAAACTATTCTATTTTTCGAAATAGTCCAAACAATGTACCGAATGGTCGCACTAAATGGTCCAAACAATTTATAAAATGTTTCAAACAAGGACACAGAATAATTATTGTCATATTAATTATTATTTAAAGAAGAATAGTTATAATAAAAAAATAATATTATTGTCCAATATTTACCATGTACTAAACGTTCTACATGTAAATACTAATTTGTACGTTTGTTTGTTTTGAAATATAATATACCGGTACATGTACTTTTAATCAAGATGATCTAATGTGAACGTAATTAGAGAAGGTGAACGGTAACAAAACGTGTAATTTCATTCTTAGATTAATTTATTCACAAACAATAGTATGACCTAAGCCTTCATTAATTATTGTTCCGACAGTTCTACATAACGGATTGTCATTCTCCCCAGTGATCGAGAAAAATTTTAATTTTTCACTCATGTTTTTCTATTGGTCATCATTAAGTAGCTACCTGTAATAACAAATCCGGATGCTTTGAATACTAATCTTCCATAAAATCGGTTACAGTAGAATTTTCCGATATCGGCAAAACCTGAATGGAAATTAGTAAATGCAAGTCGAAGGTTTTAAAATTTAAACATTTCTTTCGCTCATAGATGAATCAGGAATGGCAAAGTAATGCTATATAAATAGTAGTAATAAATCAGTGATTAACAGTTAATGAAGAATAAGAAAAATATTTCTTTGTCTCTGATTTGGGATTTTTAAAGATCTTTGTATTCTATTTCTGACAAAGTAATTCTTGTAACGAGTTTTGACTTGAATTTATAGAAGGTTTTTTTTTAATGTAATTTATATGCGCTATTTCTTGTAGTACAGACATGTATATTTATAATGATATTTTGCTTTAATGACATTACATCACATGTAATAAATGAATAAAATATTAAATAGCTATCAATGCCATTGATGTCGTTTCATGTTATCTATATGTATGATACGCTTTTAATTTTTATCTAATTTTCATTTATCATGATCTCATTCAATTATATTTACACCAAGTCGTTATCTAAAGCAACATACAACATTTCTATATGTCACTTAACTAAAATACGTTATAAAACATTCCAAATATTTTATGTTTAATTTATCCCTTTATATTAAAACAAAATGTCATCGTAAAAAATTCACAGAATCAACTTACATAGAAGTTCAATAAAGTATCGTAAATGAGTTTTAAAAATTGTCGGCTGATCTTAAATTTTGTGACTATATAGGAGGGTGACTATATAGAGGGAGGTTATGCAATTTGAATCCATGTAAATCGATTTTTATTATAATCGATCTTTATTAACGTTAATCACTACAAATTACATGTAACGGTAATGCCAAATACTAAAATTTGTGCTTCATTCGAAGCCTAACAATTGGTAAAGATAGACAGAATTTATGCTTAAACATGTGTGTCATATGATTTTTATTTTATGTTCATATCACATGTATTCATTAAATTCCTTTCCAGAAGATCCCCAATATAAAAGACCCTTCTTTTTTATATGTAACCCCGGATGATTTCCATGACATTTTACGATAGTAGCTTTAGACTTATTATAAGAAAATATTTCACAAGTTTCTAGTAAGACTTTTTTTATGTTTGTTGGAATGATAGGCTCAAATTCAGCAATTTGAGAAACTACTTAATGAAATGTATTATTAAATTGGTTTGCTAATATTAATAATAATTTTTCTTTTTCATTATTAAATAAAATTAAATCTTACTAATTTTAAAAAACAATAGAACTTTCAGTTAATTATTCTATATATTATAAGCATAAAAGATTAATACTAATCTATTTTGAAGAATTTTTATTAATTAATATTAATATTATAGTTTAATAATTGTCATTTAAATAGTTATATCTCTCCTTTCTAAAAGCACATTATAATAAAAATTTCTAAAAAGTCACATTTTTAAATTTTTTAATATATAAAACTTTTTATAATTATGATTTTAATAAAATTTCTTTATAAACACATTTTCTCAAAAATCATTAATGCAGAAGGTATAATGGTATATTATGAAATACTAATAGATTCTTTTCAGAATACATTTTCTTTTTTATTGTTACTAAATTTTTTAAATAATAATATTTCGC